AAAATTTAAAAAAAAAATAATGTTTTGAATTTTTTATTTAAATTCAATTAATTAACATATAGTATGTTATTAGTTTCACAGGTAGAGTTCAGTGATTCATCAGTTGTATATAATACCTAGTGCTCATTACATCACATGCCCTCTTTAATGCCCATTATCCAGTTATCTCATCCACCCACCCCCCTCTCCTCCAGCAACCCTCAGTTTATTTCCTATGGTTAAGAGTCTCTTATGCTTTGTTTTCCTCCTGATTATGTCTTGTTTTACTTTTCCCTCCCTTCCTCTATGCTCCTCTGTTTTGTTTCTTAAATTCCATATATGAGTGAAATCATATAATTGTCTTTCTGATTGACTTATTTTGCTTAGCATAATACCCTCTAGTTCCATCCATATCATTGCAAATGGCAAGTTTCATATTTTTTGATGGCTGAGTAATATTGCATTGTATATATATACCACATCTTCTTTATCCATTCATCTGGCACCTGCATCCCAATGCTTATAGCAACAATGTCCACAATAGCCAAACTATGGAAAAAGTCCAGATGTCCATCGACAGAAGCTTTTTGAATCTTAAAAGAAAAACAACTACAAACAGCAAATGTTGGTGATAGTAGTATGGTAATAACAACCCATCATTGTTATTTAAGAACACACAGGTTTCCATCATTAAAATACGGTTTTAAAAAATAAATGTTTCTTGAACATATGAATATGTTTCTATGAATCACACCAAGCCGCTGCTGGTGAGTTTTCCTCCCTTTGTGTGCCCCAAGCATGGCCAGCAGAGCCATGATTTATGAGATGAACAACAGGAGAGATGAGATGAACAACAGTGCTGTATCTGTTGAGTGGGTGACTTCAAGCACCTTAGGGGAGGAAAGGCAAAATCATGCAGACAAGGGGTCTGAAGAGATGGAGGATGGAAGGGAATTAGGGGCTTCTCACTTGTTCCTCAGCATTGCAGAGATCTTCTTCAATCAGGACCTGACTTAAATCCAAGCTCTGGGGGAAATCGAGTGAGTGGCAGATCTTTTCTGTCTGAGAATTCCTGATGGAGAACCGCAAGAGGTGGATTGTCAAGGTCTGGGGCAAATGGGTCAGCTTCAAGACCTGAAAAAGCAAAATTACTATGGAGATGAAGTCCTAAGGCACTTGAAATGGGTAGATTTAGAGAAATACCAGGGCCAGTGGTGTGTTCTTCTTCCCCAAAAGGGATCAGGATGATATAATACAGATTTAAGGGCTCCCATCTGCTGAATCTGTTGAGCTCTCCACAGAAGGCATGAGCAGCCCTAGGGTTCTGCACAGGAACTAGAGACCAGGTCTGCTCTAGAGAGCTAGTCTAACACTGCATGAAACTCTGCCTGCTGCTCTTGGATCTTCTCTTATCTTTTTTTTTTTATTTTAAGATTTTATTTATTTTGTCAGAGAGAGAAAGAGAGCCCAAGCAGGGGGAGCAGCAGGCAAAAGGAGCTCTGAGCAGGGTGAGTGGCAGGCAAGGGAGAAGCATACTCCCTGCTGAACAGGGAGCCTAATGTGATGTGGGACTCAATCCCAGAACTCTGGGATCATGACCTGAGCTGAAGGCAGACGCTTAACCGACTGAGCCACCCAGGCGTCCCTTGCCTTATCTTTTAAAAGGCTCTGCCCTCTCAGTGATGGGCCTCTGAAAATCAGAAGCCCCAGATCCCAGATACTAGCCTGATAGGGATTCCCTCCCTCAACCAACATATGGTACCCTCAAGGCCTCTAAGAAGACTCTATCAGGAAATCCACTAAAGGCAACCCCAAACTAGGGAAGCTTCTGGTTTCAGAGAGTGAGTACCTGTTTCCCACAAGTCTTCTTTCCACATTTTTCACAGAAGCATTTGCTTTTGCCTGATAACTCCCTGGGCTGGAAGAAACATCGAAGGGCATCCTCCTGTGTCAGGAGATCAAAGAAAAAGCAGAGTTAGTACTTACCACCCTACAGATGAGGATTTAAGTTTTCCTTCTAGTTCTCTCCATGTCCCCCCTCAACACCTGGCCCAGTGTGGTGCATGTGGCAGGATCTCCAAAAGTACCTACTGACTGGATGGAAAAATAAGAGGGAGCACTTGTTAAGGTAGCAGTATGAGGAAAGGAAGTAAAAGGAAACAATTTTTTTTCACCAAATCAAAGGAGAAACTTAGAACTGTGCAAAGAAAATAGAAATTACTTTTTAAAAGGCAGCGGTGGATTAAAGAAGTAAGGGCACATGGGCAGCACTCGGTTTATGGGAACAGCAAATTAACCAAAAGAAATCCCTCACCAGTGTTTTCAGGGGTTTTGAGTCCATATCAAAAAGAGGAAGGGGGAGGGTCAACATGCTACTGTTTCTGCTCTTCTCCACAGTACATTCAAGGCAAACCAAGGACTCCTTCACCTGGATTGTATACAGGGCCTGCAGCCTCTCTACCTGTAAGAAAGAGGAGGTAAGAGGAAAGAAGGGTACAAAGCCATAAATAAAACAGGTCAAGTCAATTTCCAGAAATTATAGCCACCAGACAGAAGTTCCATTGATGCTCTCTGCTCTCCAAAAAGGTGCAAAATCGTAACAGTAATAAGATTATGGAATTGTGATAAGCATTTTATGTGGATTTCTCTTTTAATCCTCTCTATACATTATATTAATGATGGCTGAATGGGCTAAATGAGCAGCATCTTAAACTTCTGAGTTCTCTGGTTCTAGGATCTCACCAAGTCCACATCTGTGATTTGGTCCTTAATTAGGTTCCAGACTGTGAGGTAGAGTTGAGCAGCATCATGCTGGACAAACACTGGACAAAGAGAAAAGTAACAGCCCGATCAGTGAGGTCACCAGGGACATTTCTCATGCATGCCCTTGTGCCCTAGCTACCTAGATATATATGAACACTCATCATTTTGTCCTCTCCTAGCCTCCACCATCACCATCACACCCCCTGCTTTAGTTAGGTACTAAAAATGAAAAATAAGCTTGTTATTTATTTTTGAGAACTCCTCTTAAAACTTAAAATCCAGGGGCGCCTGGTTGGCTCAGACGTTAAGTGTCTGCATTCGGCTCAGGTCATGATCCCAGGGTCCTGGAATGGAGCCCCGAGTCGAGGCTCCCTGCTCAGCGGGGAGCCTGCTTCTCCCTCTCCCTTTGCCCCTCCCCGTGCTTGTGTTCCCTCTCTCGCTGTCTGTCAAATAAATAAATAAAATCTTTAAAAAAAACTTAAAATCCAGTCCAACTGCATCACAGAAGTTTCCTTTCCTCTGACTAGCCACCCACGCCTACTGGCCTCTACTGGGGGACTCAGCCAGATAAAATCAATATCCAATAGTGGGTTCTCTCCTATTTCCAAGCCAAGCCAACACCCTAATTAGACTTCAATGGCCATTCATTTCTCTGTACTTTTATTTAATTTCTTTGTCATCTCCCAGAAATTGAGCAGTTTCCCAATACTCATATCTGATGCAGGTCTTCCCCAAAGCTATCTAGGAGAACAAGAAAGGAAAGAACCATCTCAGTGTTAGAGGATGCTGGCTAAGAAGAAACAGGAATTAAGCAGTAAATTCTCCATATGTTATATAAGAAGCCGAAAAGACAGATATAAATGAATTTCTGTTCTTGAAAAGAAACCTAGGAATACGAAGAACATGAAAAAGACACTGAGGACTATTTCACAAAAGAATATATGTCTGTCAACATGCAAAGACATTGCAAGAAAAGGTAGTTATTGTAAACGTATTAAATATTCGTATCAGCTATCTCAAAACTATTTTATTTCCTTCATGATACCACAGTTTGTACTTAACATTTTTGGATTTCATTTTCTTTTGTTTTACTTTTGTTTTGGCCTGTCTATTCTCTAGATTGTAAGCTCCATGGAGGCAAAGACTCTATCAGTCTTATTCCCTTATCTACAGCACCAGCACAATACCAGGCACATATCAGATGAACCCTATATATATGAGCTAAATGAATTAATTAATCCATATTTTAAGGTAATAACCCCCAAACCTAAAGACAAACAGAGTGGAACTAGGGTTGAACTCTGCTGTCTCCAAGGAATTATTTACAGAAGGCTGCCTGCCACGAAGCCAACATTGGACATAAAGTTAGATCACCTTGCCATGTGAAGACATTTGCCTCATCTGACCATACCAGAGCCAAGAGTCCTGATTCATCTAAAAAATACAGGGATATTTGCCCAACCCATAATTTACTTAACACCTGCTATGTGCAAGTCATTGCACATGCTAGAGGAAGTTCCTATCCCCAAGAAACCTATATTCTAGTGGAGGACAAGAATGTCCCTTATCACCACTCCTTTTCAATGTGGTATTGGAGGTCCTAGCGAATGCAGTAAGATAAGGAGAGGAAATAAAGGTATACTGATTGGAAAAAAAAAATAAGAATGTCCTTATTTGCAGGTGACATGATCATCTCTGTAGAAAATTCAAAAGAATCAACAAAAAACTCCTGGAACTAGGAGTTGGATACAACTGGAACTAACTTGGATACAAGGTAAATAAAGTTATGGACCTTACAGAAGTCCTATATACTTTTCTATATACCAGCAATGAACAAGGGGAATTTTTTTCTTTTTTTTTTTATTACTATATTGAACTATCCAACATATATTACATCATTAGTTTTTTATTAAGGGGAATTTTAAATTAAAAGCATAATATTATTTAAATTAGAAACCATGAATATAAAATATTTAGGTATGAATCTAACCAGATATGTACAAGATCTATATGAGAAAAACTATGAACTCTGATGACAGAAATCAGAAGAACTACAAAAATGGAGAGATATTCCATGTTCATGGATGAGAGGACTCAACACTGTCAAGATGCCAGTTCTTCCCAACTTGATCTAGACTCAATGCAATTTCAATCAAGATCCCAGCAAGTTATTCTGAGAATACTGACAAAGTGATTCTAAAATCTATTTGGAGAGGCAAAGACCTAGAATAGCCAACACAATATTGAGGGGAAAAACCAAAGTCAAAGAACTAATTCTGAACTTACTATAAAGTGTCAGTAATCAAAACAATGTGGTATTATAAAAGAACATAAAAATAGATCAATGGAATGAAACAGATCCCAGGAATACACCAACATAAACAACATCAACTGCTCTTTGACAAAATAGCAAAGGCAATACAACAGAACAAAGACAGTCTTTTCACCAAATGGTGCTGCAATCCTGAATATCCACATGCAAACAAATGAATCTATACACAAACCTTAAATCCCTTAAGAAAACAAATTCAAAACGTATAACAGACTTAAATGTAAAATGCAAAACTATAAAAGTCCTAAATATAATAAAGGAGAAAATCTAGAAGACCTTGTGTTTGGTGATTACTTTTTAGATGCAACTCCAATGTACAAGCAATAAAAGGAAGCAGTGAGATACTGGATCTCATTAAAAATAAAAATTTCTGCTCTGTGAAAGATACTATCAAGAGCATGAGAAGACAAGCCACAGACTGAGAGAAAATATTTGCAAAAGGTATATCTTATAAAGGACTGTTATCCAAAATATACAAAAAAATTCTTCAAACTCAACAAGACAAAAAAAAGTCTGATTAAAAAATGGATAAGAAACCTGAATAGACATCTCACCAAAGAAGATACACAAATGGCAAATAAGCATATGAAGAGTGCTCAGCATATGTCAAAGAGAATTAAAGAGGGCAGGTGATATAATGAGCACTGGGTGTTATATTCAACTAATGAATCACTGACCATTATATCAAAAACTAATGATGTATTATACCTTGGCTAATTGAATTTAAATAATTTAAAAAAGAAATTACAAATTAAAATAATGAGATACCCCTACAAACCTATCAGAATGGCCAAAATTTAAAACACCAACACAGTACTAGAAGTCCTAGGCTCATTGTTCAGACAACAAAAAGAAATAAAAGGCATCCAAATTGTCAAAGAAGAAGTCAACTTTCACTCTTCACAGATGACATGATACTTTATGTGGAAAACCCAAAAGACTCCACCCCCAAATTGCTAGAACTCATACAGGAATTCAGCAATGTGGCAAGATATAAAACCAATGCACAGAAATCAGTTGCATTTCTATACACAAACAATGAGACAAAAGAAAGAGAAATTAGGAGTCTATACCATTTACAATTGCACTCAAACCCATAAGATACCTGGGAATAAACCTAACCAAAGAGGCAAAGGATTTGTACTCCAAAAACTACAGAACACGTATGAAAGAAATTGAGGAAGACACAAAGACATGGAAAAACATTCCATGCTCATGGATTGTGAGAATAAACATTGTGAATATGTCTATGCTGCCCAGAGAAATCTACACATTCAATGCAATCCCTATCAAAATACCACTGACCTTTTTCACAGAGCTGGAACAATCAATCCTCAAATTTGCATGGAACCAGAAAGACTCCAAATAGCCAGAGGAATGTTGAAAAAAAAAAAAACAAAGCTGGGGGCATCATGACACCTGACTTCAAGCTATATTACATAGCTGTGATAACCAAGACAGCATGGCATTGGCACAAAACAAACATATCGATCAATGGTACAGAATAGAAAATCCAGAAATGGACCTTCATCTCTATGGTCAACTAGTCTTTGACAAAACAGGAAAGAATATCCAATGGCAAAAAGTTAATAGCCAGGCTTGAAAAAAAGCATACATGACAATACAGAACCTCTAGAGCAAAATGAGATCTAATCAGGCCAACTGAAAAATGCTATGAGTGAGATGCAGTCTAAATTGGATGCTCTAACATCTAGAGACAATGAGGCAGAAGAGAGAATAAGTGACATAGAGGACCAGCTGATGGAAAGGAAGGTAGCTGAGGAAAAGAGAAAGACAACTTATAGTCCATGAAAAAAGCCTTCAAGAATTTAATGATGCCCTGAAATGAACCAATGTCAGAATTACTGGGGTTCCTGAGGAGATGGGGAGAGAGAGAGGGCCAGAGGGTATATTGGAGCAAATCATAGCTGAGAACTTCTCTAATCTGGGGAAGGAAACAAGCATTCACATCCAAGAGGCAGAGAGGACCCCTTCCCAAATCAACAAAAATAGATCAACACCACGATATGTAATAGTGAAGCTTGCAAATCTCAGAGAAAAAGAAGTTATCCTGAGAGCAGCTAGGGAAAGGAGGTTCCTTACATATGGAGGGAGGAAAATCAGAATAACATCAGACCTATCCACAGAAACCTGGCAGGCCAGAAAGGGCTGGAGAGATATATTCAGCTTACTAAATGAGAAGAACGTGCAGCCAAGAATACTTTATCCAGCAAGGCTATCATTCAGAATGGATGGAGAGATAAAGAGCTTCCAGGACAGACATAAATTGAAAGAATATGTGACCACCAAGCCAACCCTGCAAGAAATAGTAAGGGGGATACTGTAAGCGAAGAGAGACCCCAAGAGTCACCTAGACCAGAAAGAAACAGAGACAATCTACAGAAACAGGGACTTTACAGGCAATACAATGGCACTAAATTCATACCTTTCAATAATTACTCTGAATGTAAATGGACTAAATGCTCCAATCAAAAGACACAGGGTATCAGATTGGATTAAAAAGCAGGACCCATCAATATGCTGTCTACAAGAGACTCATTTTAGACTCAAAGGCACCCCCAGATTGAAAGTGAGGGGGTGGAGAACCATTTACCATGCTAATGGACCTCAAAAGAAAGCTGGGCTGGCAATCCTTAAATCAGACAAGATAGATTTTAGACCAAAAACAGTAAAAAGACCCATAATCATAATTAAAGGGTCTATCCA